TTTAATTTTCACAAGACCATATGACTTTAAGATGTGAAAGTCTTGTGAAAATTAAATGGGCTTTAAGATGTGAAAATTACTTTAAGATGTGAAAATTAAATGCAACATTTAATTTTCACATCTTAAAGTTATATGGCTTTAAGAAGCATGCATGCAACCCCAAAGTCCATAAGTTTGAAATTAATATATAGCATAGCTATGTGGCTTAATATTTAAGATTGTTGATGTGCATATTGAGAACTACGGAGACAAAGATGCTTTATTCGTGGATTCATCGGATACTATCCAACAACACTCTCCAACTTAATTGACGTGAAGTAGGCTTAGTAACATTAAGATTATATTCTCGAATTATTAGTTCTCATCTTTTATTGATTACACACTTAATTCGATAGTATTTGGAAGAAAAAAAAATCAATGTTCTAACTAAGATTGTGATTTTGGTCTTTAAAGGTCAATTGTATGTTGCTACATCTAGAGTTAGAAATCTCAAAGGTCTAAAAATTTTGATCCGTGGTGACTTTAAAATTGTAATTCAATTACTATTGTAGTTTACTAAGTTCTTAAAAATTTATAATATTAAATACTATGCACTAAATTTTTAATATAGTTTAAGATTTGTAGTAATCACCCACCTTAAATATTATTTTAATTGTAAATATATTTATGTTCATAATTTTATCATAGGAATTCACACATAATAATTATTAAATAACAATAATTTTATATATGAATAAACCTCATATAGTGTATATTTTTATAACATATTTTTCGTGCATCGCACGGGACAAATACTAGTGGAATATATGAGTTTAATTTCCTATTGTACCCTTTAATTTGACGCCAAGTTCACGTCCAACTAACGGAGAATCGATTTGGCTTAAAATCTAAATAGTTCGGGGACTAGTTTGGGTTCAATTAAAAGTCATAGGACCAATTTGAGAAAGGGTCATAGTCTGTAACACCCTCTTTTTCTTTAACTTACTTAAGCAACTAAACCTTAAGGGTCAAATAGGCCACTGAACTGCACACCAAGTTGCAATCATGCCATCGAACTCAAAAAAAGTACAATTGGGTCCCTAAACTTCATAAATTCATGCAATTAGGTCTAAAATGACCTATTTACATAATACTTTGCTGACATGGAGGTTGTGGATTTTAAAAATAATTTTAAACAAAAAATTAATTAAAAATTAAAAAAAAAAAAAAAAAAAAAAAAAAAAAAAAAAAAAAACAGAACGGCCGGAGACGAAATCGTCTCCGGCCGTTCTTCGTCTCCTGCCATGGAGACGATTTCGTCTCCGGCCGTTCTGTTTTTTTTTTTTAAATTAATTTTTGATTAAAATTATTTTAAAATTTATTTTTAAAATCCGCAACCTACCTGGCAGGTAAACAGGTCATTTTAGACATAATTGCATAAATTTGTGTAGTTCAGGGACCTAATTGCATCTTTTTTGAGTTCGATGGTCTAATTGTAATTTGATGTGCAGTTCAGTGACCTATTTAACCCTTATTCCAAAGAAAAACTAAACAGCGGAAATAAACTTAATAAATTAACTTTAAGGGAGCGTAACTGCCACAACCACCCTCCACGGTGATTGCACAGGTTAGGGTAAAACTAACAAACAAGTCCAACTAAAATCGAGAATCTAGGGGATACAACCCCGGTGTTCAACACCATCAAATTAAACATAGGTTTACTACAATTCATCAAACGAGTTTAGACTACAACATCATTCTAACTAGTCTAACTCGGAACTCTCTCTCTCTCGAACCTACGAGCTCGAACCACCTGAAAGGGGTTAACAAATAAACAAGTAACAAGCAAACCCGTTAGCACGAAGCTAAGTATAACGCCACTCAACCCTGTAAAGTAAGTACAATATATACTTTGGAAAACAAGGTTCCACATTCTTTGCTCAAGCAAGTTTAAACACTTAATATACTTTGACGTAACTTCTAAATGCTTGCAACTTAATACTCAAATAGGCATGCTTAAACATAAACAACTCATCACATTCTCATCTTATAAACAATCTAAAGCTTCTCAAATAATCAAAATTCTCATGCTTTCTCATATAAATCAAATATGCAACTCATGCTATCAGGTACTACTCATGCAATCTCGTGCAAGATATATCAATAGGCAATCTCGTGCTACTACTCATGCAATCTAGTGCAAAACATATATAAATAAGCAATCTCGTGCTACTACTCATGCAACCTAGTGCAAGACATATATAAATAAGCAATCTCATTCTTCTACTTATGCATTCTAGTGCAAGATAAACAAATAAATATAGATATACTGTCACACTCTAAAAAGAATACTTTTCTGTGGAGGTTTCTGATGTCATAAATGACTTGCTTTTCTTCTCTTTTCTTTGAGTCTCAATGACTCTCTTTCTTTCTCTTGAGTCTCTCTTAACTCACTTTCTTTCTCTTGAGTCTCTCTTGACTCACTTACTTTCTCACACTCGTGGACGGTTTAGGGATTCACAATGGTGTGAATTAACCCATTGGGAACAACGTATAGCCGACCCAATATCTCCTCCCGTCCACAGAACCAATCTAGTGGTCCTTTCTCTCACTCTGTGGAATCAGGTATCGAACTATCAGTGTGCACACCCCCTGACCAGGATTCCAAGCCTGGCGGGTAGTTTACCTCTTAGTAACGTGGGAATACGTCTCGTTACTGATTATCGGATCGCAATTGTCCGAATCTTCTTCTTTTACCCCGAAAGGACATAGTCCAAACGGGTCCTCCAAAATACTGTTTTCCTCACCATAGGTACATATAGATAGATATATCAGTCATGCATCTCAAGATATGCAAACACTCTTCTCATGCAATCAATGCACATAACTTCTCAATTAAATCTCAATATGATAAGATAACAGATCTCTACATGGATATGAGATTTTAGAAAAATATACTTAGGCTCACCTTGGCCACTTATGCACTTTAATATATGAAAAACTCAATGATGCAATCTACAGTAACATGCTTCAAATGACATGTATTGTGAAAATCATGCTTCTAGATTCTACTCACTGTAAACTCACGGATTTCATAACCCATGCTTGAAACATATAACTCCACAATTCTTCTCATCAAACACTTAGCAAGTATAACATGCTATTGGAAAAATAGAAACTTGGCAGTGAACAACTTCATTTCATAAAATACAATTTAGGCATGCTTTGATAGCTAGAAACAACTAACTTAACTCAGGCTTCTCTATTTAAAAATCAAACAATGACCTGCTTAGCAGATACAAATATCCATGTTTCATAAACAAAAACACTTTCACTGTGAAAACTCAAAAGAACATCTGCAACAAATATGCTTATAAATCTTAGCATAAAATGCTCAATTCTTCTCCAAACTCAACGAAATCAAAGCCAAAACGTGCGTCAAGACAGTCCCGAGGTAGAGAGCTGCAAGGGCCCTCGATATCCTGTCCGAAACGACACGTAGCTGAGCCACAAGGGCCCGGCCACTACACAGAGAACTGCTAACGGGCCTAGGGGCGGGGCTCCTCTAAGCCCGCCCCTCCTTCTGCCTCTTCATCAGTCCTAGGCAACGACCCTACCCTAGGGCCGTTCCCTACGGCCGATGGCCAACGACCTTAACAAATGGAGCCCTTGTTGGGCCGTTGGCTGGGACGGGTTGACATATCTGGTGTATACTGGTTGTGCACCAGATGCCTCAAAACCAAAACCAAACATTTTCAGGCATAACCGACTCCTCCAAAACATCAACAACACAGCATAGATCATCTAATAGCTCAAATAAAACATGTATTTAGAATTTCTACTCATTTCTAGCACAAACAAGACTTCACAGAGTCTATAAAAATAGCTTTGGGAATCCATGGGTTATACCTTTGTAGACCTCTTCTGCTTCTAGATTGGTTCCCACCTCCTTCTCAGCTAGCTATTACCTCCTTCACCTCCTAAACACCTCAAACAAACCATACAACATCTTACTACTAAGTTCTCAGAGGTAGAAAAGAATGAAAACTTGAAGAATGAATGGCTAGGATTGAAAGGGAAGAATGAAGAAAACTTACTGCTTTGCTTGGTGATTTGCCAGGGAGGAAGCTCAATGGTGGAAACAAAGAGGCAAATGTCTGATAAGGGTTAAATTTATAGGAGCACAAAACCCTAGGTTAATCCCATATGATTGGTTGATGGCAAAAGTGTAATTCCTTTAGCAAAAGATGACTCAGGAAAGGTTTTGGATGTCTAGTGGTCCACCATGCTCCATAGACCAAGGGCTAGAATTGCTATTTAAAATACTTTGGGGTTGAAAATGGAATTTTCTCAAAAAGTTTTATAGATGAACACTTGTTTAAGGCTTCTCAGAATTCTCCCGGTTTCACTCAGATAAATTTCTCAGTTCAAAACGTGGCATGCAATGTACCCGAAAAATCAGGATTTTGGAATTTAATCCAATCTTGGTGTCGAATTGAATTTAAAATGGCTCGAAATAAAATATTCAACACCGCTTCCTTTGTAAAAATTTCTTGTGGAGTGAAAATTGGCTATTTTGGATTTTCTTAAAACCGAAATTATAAAATAAATTTTGGATTGTCACATAGTCGGAGGACCAATTTGGAAATTTCCTCAATTCCTATTATATTCCTTGTTTATTCTAATCCTGATGGAATGAGATTCTTATATTTTTCAAAATTCATTTTGTGTACCAAAAATGTTGTTAATGTCCAATAACTTATCACATATAATATATATACAATAATTCAAATAAAGTTCATAATAAGCTTGCTACCCGAATATGTGTTCTAAGTGAGAAAAGTGTCATAAGCATAGAGTCCCGTGCAACACACAATGCCCGTGCGGCGTCTCGGGGCCCCTCATACCTCGTGGACCAGCCTTACCCTCATGCGTGCCAAACTGGTTTCGCGCTGCCATAGGCTCATCAGGGGAACGACAATAGCTCATGACCAGTTGTGCCCTTCGAATCGCATCGGTCCCCTTCATAGTCAAGTCTAAGACTAGCGACATACTCCCGAAACTTAATCGAATCGGCATGCCTGATTCTGCTAGACATTAGCATCTAAGGCAGAACAACCCTGAACACTATTAACACCCCTTTTACCCATTTGTCAAACTAACCAAGTGGTCCAATATTCATTTCTTGGGTCGGTCACGGAAAATAGTATGTGACATTATCCACCACCCATCATCTAGCACGCCCTCGTGCTAGGGGAGAAGAACTCTGCCCAAGGATCACCATACTAAATACTACTTACGCGCTGCATCGCCAGGACCGTTCCCGCAAAGCAGTCCGACTAAGTTGGTGGCTACCCGAGTCACATTTCCTATGCTATAACGCATCTGCCCCTTGCGGACCACCGAGGTGGAGCCTTCATCAACACGTGCGCCCCTTACGCGCCACCCGTGCTCACATAGTCCTCCCCTGAAGACCCCACCATAGCGCATAACAATATAAGTACGTCACTCTATGATACCACTTTGTCACGTGCATAGAGTTCGCCGCAGCACATAACGCCCTTGTGGTGTCCTAGGGCCCTCATATCCCGCAGACCAGCCTTATCCTCATACGTGCCAAACTACTTTCGCCCTGCCATAGACTCATCAAGGGAACAACAATAGCTCCCAACCAGTTTTGTCCTTCAAATTGCATCGGTCCTCTTCCTAGTCAAATTCAAGACTAGCGACAAACTCCCCAAATTTAATCGGGCCGGCATGCCTGACTCGGTCAGACCTTAGCGTCTAAGGCAGAACAACCTTTAACGCTATTGACGTCCCCTTTACCCATTTGACAAGCTATCCAGTTGACCCATTCATTCATTGGGTCTTAACACAGCCACGGAAAACAATTTGTGTCAAAAGTCTTGTGATTTTAGTCAACAAAGAACCTCTACTTGCTCAAACCAAACATGCTAATAGACAACTCCTTAAAGAATTTAAATTTAAAATTTAAAAATTTTATGGTTACTAAAGTTAATCGTTCAATCATCTTGACTGAAGTTATTTCGAAGTTAAGAGTGTTACGAATGTAAGTATGTAAATGTGTGATGATACGTTGGAAAGTCATACATTATAAATATTATCGAAGGAACAAAATAGTAACGTATAGTGTGAGGAAGGGAGAAAAAAGGGAAGTGGGGTTAAGATTTAAGAGTTGAGAGTTGAGTTGGTGGATTGATTGAATTTGCGTAGGCGGAAGTCCGGCGCAGGCGCAGCATTGCGGCTGAGAGAGAGAGAGAGAGTACATATTTTGAGGTTTGGGCTGATTTGCTAAACCCTTCGCTCTTCAGTCTTCACGCACTGCTCAGTGCTCAACCCCACGCGCACTTCCTTCTCTTTCTCCTGCACTGCTTGCTACTATATCTGACTCTGACTCTTTTGATTCTTTTCATTCTCCTTTTTTATCTTTATTTTTTTGTTCTTTTCCTCTCTCTCTCTCTCTCTCTTTTTCTCTGTATGTATATATATACGTTTAGATCGCTTTCTCTCTCTTCTCCTGTATAGCTTTTGCACAGTGGAAGCGAGGCGAGGCGAGGAGAGCAGTGATCGTGAGATTTCTACTCAGCTGACGATCTGGGCCGTCAGATGCGTGGACTTTTCGCGGTTTGACCTGAGGTTTTGAACAGATTACAGGAGAAGGATTGGAAGGAAGGAAGAAAGGAAGAAAGGAAGTGTGCGGGTGGGTGGGTGGGTGGTTGGTTGGTTGGGGGGGTTAGTTAGTTCGCACTGAACTGTTGTGATGGGCCAGTGTTATGGTAAGACGATCCCCACCACCGGTGATGCTGATGCTACAACCACTATTACCGCCTTCGCCGATCAGCCGTCTCAGAGTCCTCCCCCTTCCTCCGCCGTCAACAACGGCGGGGTCAACACCGCTTCGGTAAAGAACACGCCGGCGCGATCCTCCGCTGCGGCCAGCCCCTGGCCTAGTCCTTACCCTCACGGAAGTACCGCCCCAGGGGGAGCCCCCAGTCCCTTGCCGTCCGGCGTGTCTCCGTCTCCGGCGAGGTCCACTCCAAGAAGGTTCTTCAAACGGCCCTTCCCTCCGCCGTCTCCGGCTAAGCACATCAAGGCCTCGCTTGCCAGGCGATTCGGCCATGCTAAGATTCCCAGAGAGGGGCCGATCCCTGAGGACGGTGCGGCCGAGCCCGATCAGTCGCTGGATAAGAATTTCGGCTACAACAGGAACTTCGGTGCCAAGTACGAGTTGGGGAAAGAGGTGGGGCGAGGGCATTTCGGTCATACATGCTACGCCCGGGGCAAAAAAGGAGAGCTCAAGGACCTCCCTCTCGCCGTCAAAATCATTTCCAAAGCCAAGGTATAATTTCTTTCCCCTTTTTAATTACTACTTCTCTACTATACATTTCATACTTTGCATCTCCCCAACATCTTGGGTTGACAGGATTTCAGACTACCAGTATTTCTTGCTTAATTTTACTGCTTCTTTACTTCTTGATTCATTTTGGGCCGGCTGAGAATTCGGTTAATTGTAAACACAGTAAATGCAGTTGGGAGTTGGGGTTTGAAAATTGAAACTTAGGTCAGCACATTAATTTAGTAGAGTTTTTGATGGTTAAGGAACAAAATTGATATTTTATTGTATATAGAACTTTCAATGGTCAACTTTCATTAAGTCTCAGAATGCTCTGAATCAGTCAATAAGGTCTGGAACATGCAACAATTTGTTCTGAAACATGATGCATTCTGGACTACTACTATTCCCCGCGTCTGTTTATTTTAGTTATGCACATGAAGCTCGGGGTTTTTTTCTAATCTTTGCCGCGTCATCAAATAATATATGTTAACATTTTTTGGTAAGATAAGGGATTATAGAGAGAAAATGGTTTAATGACAAGTCGGAAAATATTTGATCTCCGTATTTAAGAATTTACTTACTTCCAAAATAAAGGAATTGCTTAGCGTTGTCAACAAATGGATTGGAAATCAGTTACTCTTATAGATTCGGAACCTGCAATCCTGTTTCCCTTGATCTAGGAATAGTAACACGTGTTATTCTCTTTGCTAATTGGTCCAAAATGAATATGGTTATTCAAACGTTAAAGAATCTAGGAACCTTTCAAGTTTGTTCTCCTCTATGCAACCGTTTTGTGGGTCATTAATCTGACAAATACGTTTTCTTATTGTCAATTATAACTTTCTACATACATCTGTGGTAATGAACAAAAAGGGGAAATGCAATTTGATAAATTAGGCAGGTATTGAAGACACACCAAGCCTTTCCACCCCTACCATTCAAATAAAATGATTGCGTGTCATTACTATTCATAGAGCTTTAGTGTGAAACAGAACATTAACATTATTTGTCATTGTCATGATCATGATCAAAGGCACTAAATAGGCCTTGACACCACAAAAGATCTGAAAAGGTGTGATTTAATTATAACACCAAAATTATGATATCTTTTTATTTTAATTTAGTCTTTGATATACTTGTTATATTTCACGTACTTCCTAAGTGTAATGCCTTCCTTCCCACCTTTATGTGAAGATATTAAAATTATTAGGCATGATGCACATTTGTTATTGCCAGGGGATTTAGGTGTAATTTTTGAAATAGGAGGGGTTCCTAATGTTATGTCAGAAACCTCTGGGGGTCAAAGTTAAATTATTGCATACTTTTAAATATGGTGGGAAAATGTTGCAAGAGATGTTTATTTGTAAAGAATTACTAGTACTAGGACATAGCAACTTTATCTTTTAGGTTGGATGCTAGTTTCCTACATTATTTATAGGCTAAAGGTTTGAATTTGCTATATGGAATACATTTTAATGCCCGACCTATTTTATTTTCAATGCCCTTTAGCTGCTATGTGCCTATGTATGCTCTTGCGCAAAGGTATCTGTTGAAGAATGCAACTTGTGTTTATACTAATACATTCCAAATAATTTTTCCATAATGATCTTAATTCCTAAGATTACTGTTTAAATCCTTGTGTTCCATGTATAGTTCCTTAGAACAAGTACGTTGGTCTTATTTAAGAAGAGACTACACCTGAAAATTTGTTTTATATTTATACGTTGATCTCTTTAACGAGGTGGGTGCCTGTAAAGTTCATTTTGTATTAGGTCCATTTAAAGAGGGTTTTTAACTGTAAAATACATTTTATATTTAGTGAAGCAGCATGTTTTGTTAAATGCAGTAATCTGGAATTTAGGACTTATAATAAAAGATGTTGGGCTGGTAATGGGTTGAAGGTTTGCTTTTGATTATGGTTATGATTAAGATTATCAACATCATCATCATCTTCATCATCATCATGACATCATCATCATTACTGTTTTAGCTGTGGGACAGGGGAGTGAGTAAAAATATGTTCTTTTGCCTGAGTATTTCCATGCCACCACTGCAATGAAGATTCTGCAGGCCCATCTAATTTTTTTTATTTTTATTTTTTATTTTTTTATGGTTATTTGTCCAACATGTTTATCTGTATGCGGCACATTTGGAAATCGCAACATGTAATTAATGACCTGGTGGTTTAATAGAATCTTTAACAAGATTATGTTTAGCATGAATTTGAACAACATTTTGATCACTTTGTTTATATTTGTATAAAAACCATCCCAATTTGGTATTGTATGCATTAATGTTCACATAAGAAATAATCTGCCATCATAAACGGTTTCATTGCTTTTGGTTTGGGAACTCTTAGGAAGGCACATTTTGTACACATTTCGCATTGAAACACACAAGTAACTATCTCAAAATGCTTTGGGATTGTTTTCATAATAAAAAAAAGTTTCAGGGCGTATAGTCTAAAAGTAAACACATTTTAAGGCATTTTTGGGGGTTTAATTGAAAAAGAACAATTTTTTGGGTCAAAAGAAACACAAATTTTTATTCATTGATATGACCCTTATATACCCTATATATCCTGCACATACCCCTATATACCCTTATAGTGTATTACTTTTAGTTTATGAATTAGTAGACAATAAATATTTAGGCATATTTTAAGAAAAATAGTTGCAAACGTACCCATATATATATATATATATATATATATATATATATATATATATATATATATATATATATATATATATTTCACTCCATCTTTTATGTATCTTATATTTTAGAACTTTTTTTTTTTTCCTTGTGTATCATGTATCGTTGCTTGTTCTCGTTTTGGTGCTTCTAGGTTTAGACCCTAAAAAATTTAAAGGGAAAATTGCACTTTTGGCCCTTGAGTTATGAGTTGGTAGTGGATTTTATCCCCGTGTTGGAAGTGTTACCACTTCTTATTCTTGAATTGTCAATAAAGTGGTGCTTTTAGTCCTTTTCTTAACAATTCTGTTAAAGTTTATCACTATTATTGAGAAATCTTAGTTGATTAGAGTTAGCAATGGAATTTTACTTCCTATTTTTCTTCTTCTGCCCAAATTACATTCCCAATTTTATGACTCAGTGACTAGAATTACAAAATTGTAAACCACTAACTTCCATTAAACTAATAAAAGTTTTAAAAATTAGTGTAATGGAGGTCAAATTTGGATTTCTGGCCACTAAAGTGTGGAGTAGGTGTGCTATTTTAGGTGTAAAAAATAGGAGGTAAAATTACGTTAGCAATCCTAATTAGCTAAGATTTTTGAAGAGTTACGGAAGATTTTGGAAGTGACAAAAGTGCCACTTGCTTACAACTCAAGCACTAAAAGTGGTGATGCTCATAAGACAGACTAATTCTACTAAACTTAAGGAGCTCAGAACACTACTCGGGACATTCTAGTACATGCGTGTGAAAATGAAAGAAAATGGAAATGTTGCTTGCTTTGAATGTTTTATTACAGAATCACATCA